GAGTGGGCACCGAGGGCTGGAAATAACTTGTGATGTCTGTGAGATGTGGATGTTTAGGGCATACGTGTGTGCTTCTGCCCCAGCTGCACGATATGCGTCTGCATATGCGTGCAAATAAAGTGTAAATCGATGGGATATTACAGAGATCGTCATTCTGGCACACTAATGACCAGCATTGTCTCAGGTCCGCACGTCTGCCCTTTTTGCCCCTTTCGCCTTTCATCTTCACTTAGAAGCGCTTGTGGCGAACAACGCTTCTAAAACTCGGAATCTGTTTTGTCTTTGAAATACAATCAAACAAACATCAACAAACAGAGAATAACAACAGCAACAACACGGAATTGTTTGGACAACCCTCTGAGATTAAATAAATAAATAAATAAATAAATAAATAAATTCGGAAGACTTCAAGAAAGAAAATGCCAGGGTCTGCTCTTCAGCAGAGAGGGAATGAATTGGGCGCAGGGAAGGGACAGTCAGCCTCATCTCCCAGGTTGTCTGTGAGGAGCTTTTCTCTCATGAGAAGAAAATCATCCCTCACTGTTTTATTGCTGTGTTTTTTTGGGGGGGAGTTACACATATTTTTATATTTTTGATTGATCAAAAAAGAGCCCATTTATTCCATTATCTCTCTCATTTCCCCACAACCCCAGAGTTATTAAATCATATGTGAGAGCATCCTCACAGGAGATTGCTCGTGTCCTTTCCCAGACCGTGCGGTTGGGGAGACAGGGAAGGGGCAAGGCCCCGTGAGCTGCCCCCGGAGCCCTGGCAGGGAGCTGGGGAAGGATTGTGGCACCCTCGGGCTCCGCGCTCCTGGCTCTCCCTGCCCGCCGCCCACAAACCCGCGGGACCCTCTGGGGCCCATCCGCCACCCGGAGCGGGGTTTCTGTCCCCGGCCTCTCTCCCAGGGTCCCCCCGGTGTGTGCGAGCCCGGCGTCCAGCGAAGCCTTAATGCCCGGGCTTTGCCACTTTCATTACCTCGGTTAAAAACTTGATCCTAGTTAGCATGTAGGGTTAATTTTCCCTGTTATTATCCTCTTAATCAGAGTTTTAATCTTGGTTTTATTTCTAAGGCGAGATCAGAGACGCTGCCCTTCTTGACATTGTCCTAATCAAATTCATCTTTCTGTTTAATGGGAAATTGAGGGAAATTCTGCAGTAATTTCATTGCCCTGGAAAAAAATCTTTAAATGATTGCTCTCTCCTAGACCACACAGGACCACACAAGCACCGCTGGAGGATATTGCTGACCACTGCCTTTAATTTTTATTGTTTGAATTATGTCTACCAATTGAATCTCCCTCTTATTAGCTGACTTGTATTCTAACTTTTGTGCTCCCTAAGAAGATGGGAAATATTTTTTTTTTTTCATAATCGCCTTTTATGAAAGAGCTGATTTTCGGTTCTTGGAAGAGAAAAGGAACATCCAGTTCAAAGGCTATATTTTTGTCTGCAATAAACACAGGGAATGGATGTGAGTTCCCAGTTACCGGAAAGAAAGGTGACACTTCAAACTAACTTTTATGGGGTTAGAGAAAACAGAGCTTTCAATTAATATTCAAGTCATTTGTAATTGCTAATTAATACAAAAAAAAATTAAGAAGAAAGGGAAAAAAAAGATAGCATAATAAAAACCTGAAATAACTGGAGACACTCACAGTTACGGAAAGTGCTTAAATCTACATGGAAAAACATTTAGAGAAACATGTTCCAGAGGCGGCTGGCCTCGGAGCCGAGGGGAGCGGGCTGGAGTGGAGGGAGAGCCTCGGACGGGCTTGTGCTGCTTTTTCCAGCCCCAGCCGGCTGCTGCTTTGGGGGCGGCGTGTTAATGCCTCGGGTGTCCCCCCGCCTGTGTCTGTACAGGAAATATCACCGCTGAGGAACAGGGCGGCCCGGAGGTCTGCTTCACACTCTCCTTTCCTCTTTTCCGCTCTTTTTTTTTTTTTTTTTTTTTTTTTTTCTCCACTCCTTTTTTTTTTTTTTTTTTTTTTCCCTGGTTTTTAACCAGGCGTCCGGATAGGCCTGGACATCAGAGCTGACCACACGCTGTAATTTCACTGGCACAGTCCTCCCGTTTACAGACGAAGGGTGCTCCGCGTGTGACCGAGCCTCCCTCGCTCGTTTATCACTCGGAAACGCGGCGCTCGGAGCCGGGGAAAGGCTTCCCCTGCCTATGCCGGGGGTTGTCCAGGAGATGGCAGGATTGCCTCAGACATGGCTGGGAAACAGCGCTGCTTGACAGGAGCCCAGCAATGCATCACTGCGCCGCTGTGCATTTGCAATTGGCTTTGTCGAGGTACATGTTAATTATCCGCAATAACGCGCGCTACATTTCAGAGCAACCTTCACAGCCTTTTCTCTGAACATGAGCGGCTGGGGCTGCTCGGCTGCAGCCCGGCCCAGGAGGTTTTGAACAAGGCTCACCAACGCCCCAGCTCTAGGCTTAATTTCAGCCTTTTAATTTCACCTTCTAATTTCAGCCGGTAGGTAAGGGGGCAGATGTGCGCCTCATCTTCCTCCTGCCGGTAGCTGCTGGCTTCTTAATGATTCTGCCCGTTCTTAGGAAACTAAAAGGCGACTCCTCTCCATCTGGTACCGATTTGCCAGACAGTTCGGGTTTCATTCTGCCCGAGGAAGGCGGCCTTGGCTGGGCAAGCTGCGCCTTCCGAGAGCGTGGAGCCCGGCAGAGCCAAAGGTTAAGCCTGGAAGGAGGAAGAGAGCAGCCTGCGATGGCTCCGAGGCCGGGAAAAAAAACAGCTCTGGCAGTGCCCGGCCGTCCGTCCGCAGGGAGGCTCGGGGGGAGGAAAACCTCTGCAGAACTAATGGCAGTGTGTGCGGGTGAGTGGGGGTGCCAAGGGGCAGGAGACAAGAATTTAAAACATTCGGAGAAAAGAAGGTTGCATCAGCAGAGCGGGCTGTTCCAGGCACGTAAATGAAGAGCGGTACAACTGTCCTTTTATACTAGAATTAAACAAAAATGCGCTTTGCGATAAAATCTAAACTGCCCAGAAATCGACTTTTTTTCGTCCTTTCAGGGAAAACAAACGCCATGAACATGCGAGAGGAGTAGAAAGGGGAAGGAAGAGGGCGGAGGAGGCGGAAGATAACCTCCCGATGGAGCCAGGCGGCTGCGGAGAAAACGGAGGCACCGCTCCGGGCCGGCCCGGGAAAGCGGCGAGTGCGGGAACGTTTTGGAAATGGAGAACAAAGGGGCGGCCGAGGGCAGGCGGAGCGGGGCTCGGGGGGACAGGGCACGCACAGCCCTTCGCCTGCTTCCCAGCCCTGCGCTTCTGCCGGCAGCATTTCCTTCTCACTAAAACCCTTTGCTGCCGACGAGGCACCCTCGGATGCTCTTCCTCATCCTTTAATGCCCGTCTATCTACCTCTCACTTGCCAGGAACGGCGTCCTGTGTCCCTGAGAGGATTCCAGGCAGACCTGGAGCCCATGAAACCCCCTGCGGCAAAAGAAGGCGAATTTCTGTCTCTCTTTTATATACAGCGAAAAGAAATAGTTTTATTAAAGATGGTTCAGGAAAAGATTTGCAACATCATTAACAGTTTTGAAGTTCAGATTGTATTTCCAACACAAAGTAAAAGCTGACTTCAAGACAAATTTTTTAAAATCGTTTATGGAGAAATAGATTTATCGTATGTTTTACCACATACAAGGTTAATCAAAATGTTTAGAGCAATAGTATATTATAATAAATAATACTCGTTTGGAACACATTTTAATAATTAGATGAGGCACGTTAACAGAGAGGATACCCCTTCTCTCTCCTGGTTGTTGATTAGCGTGTCTGAACACCCTGTGTATATCATAACATGCACACTAGGTTTAAAAGAATAAAAAAATCGACAAAATCTTAGCCTTTCGGCCCATATAAATTATGGCATCTTTTGAATTTCCTTATTTATTGCTTCTGTCATAAACACCCGTTTAGTTTTGTAAATTAAAACCTAGCAGTGACCTTCGCTTGTCCATCAAGGAGTTTTTGGGCGTGAGGAAGTGGAAGAGCCTTGGGCTGGTCCGGACAAACAGGGCAGAGCGGGCATTCCCCGCCAGGTCTGTGCAGGTCCATACACACCTCTGCAGGGCAGCGTCTCCTCTGGCTGCAGGCCGGGCTGCCCGAGCCGTCCTGCCCCGAGCGCTGCCCCGGGGCTCCGCGATCTGCGCCTCCGCGGAGCGCTCAGCCCTGCGCGGGACACGAGAGCTTCCCTTGTCCAGCCGGGGCTCCTTTTCCAGCCGGGGCTCCTTTACCAGCACGGGATCCTCGCACTGAAAGCGAAACTGTGGAGGACAAAACGCGCAAACCCGAGCTCAACCCCAAACCCGCAGGAGCGGGGAGCGCGGCGGGACGCGCCTGCCATTCTGCGCCCCGCAACAGCTCGGGGAGGTTCTCCCTTCCTCGACAAAGTAATTAAAAACTCTGCTGCAGCCAGGAACCCTTCACTCAATTCTCTCCATGTCCCAGTGGGCCAGGCAAGTTTGGCAGAAGCCGGGTGCTGCCGCGGGTCTGTATTCCGGCTTTCTTGCATTTCCGATTGATTTTTTTTTTCACTCGGCGTGTTTTGAAGTTTACGATACCAAATCAAAACTGACACTTTCTGGCACTGGCTGTTGCTCAGAGGAAAAAAAAAAAAGAAAAATCACAGAATACCCCCCAAAGACTTAAGAATTAAAAAAAAATTATAGCTTTTACCATTCAACATATTTAAATTCGTTTATACTGGCCTAGAGGGAAGAACAGAAAATATAATTATTATTATTATTATTATTATTATTTTCAAAAAGAAGAAACTATAATTCAATTCAAGACTTGTCAGCACTCCCTTACACTGAGAGAAAAACGCTGACTTTCACGGAAAACAATTCCCGAAATTTCGCCACCGCTGGAAGGACAAAAAAAAATTAAATATATTTTCAAGTCTTTTCAAAAGTCTTTAGCTGGTGGTAAATTGAATGTATATTTTCATCACTGTCCGCAATTAATGTATCAGGATACGTTGTCTTTCAGTTTGGAGACTATTTTCTTATCCTTCACCCTCCTGTTCTGAAACCAAATGGTAACTTGTCTCTCAGACAGGTTTGTGGCTGCGGATATCCTTCGCCTCTTGTCCTTGTTAATGAACTTGTTAATGGCATATTCATTTTCGAGTTCTTTAAGCTGCAGTTTTGTGTACGGCACTCGCTTCTTCCTCCCGCGCCGGTAGACACACATATCGGGCTGGTTTAGTGCAACGTCCCCTATTGTAAAAGACATTATGTGAAAAATCAGAATTTTATTACAGGCTTTTAAAGCTCAACCGATACTTGTTGGGCACTGGTTTTCATGGGCAAATAAATAATGCCGAGTTGTTTACAGTTTATTATTATTTACACTGCCACATTATTTGCACTCTAGTAAAGCCCCACCAAAACTTTGATGGACTGTCATCACTTTTCAGGCATGCATCGCTAACCGAGCATGCAGGGCGGTGGGGCATTGGCTGGGGGGCTGAGAGCGGCTCGCTGCTGGCAGCGCGCACACAGAAATCGCTTTGCTGAGAGTTCCCCGGATTTGTTTGCATGTGGTTTGTGCCTCTGCGCCCTCACTGCTCGCGGTCTCTTAAGTGCTCTGGGGCCGCGGGCTCAGTCGCCAGCCGCAGAGGCAGAGGAGAGCGAGCCTTCGAGCCACAGTCCTGCAAACTTCAAACGCGACTCTAAACCCGGCCACGGAGGGAAGCAGCGGGAGAAGGAGCCCGGGGCCACCCGGCGCTCGCAGCCCGGGGGTCAGGTGCCCTGGCGCTGGAGGTTCCGGGGTCAGTCCCGCGGGCATGGAAAGCAGAGGGTGAGGATTTTCTCGGGGGTAGACGGCCGAAGGGGGAGTGAGAAAAAGAGAATATCCACCGCCCCCACCCTGCTCTATGCGTGTCTGTGCAGCGTGTCCAGCTCGGCAGGCCGCCCCTGCAGCCCGGGGGCGGGGAGGGGACGGGAAGGCGGAGGAGGCGCGGGGGTGTTCTGCTCAGACCATTTCTCCCCCTCTCGTACCTGGAAAGGACGATTTCCAGAAGTGCGAGCTCTGTGTCTGATCTTTGGCACAGTAAACCTGACTATTCCAGCCATTAGCCAGAGTCCAGGACTGATAGCCCTCCATTGATATGTATGTTTCGTGTCTCGGTTCCCCAGAGCCAAACGTTGAGACCATGTCTATGTACCCAGGAACGTGCTGGTAGGGGGTTGTATAGCCCTGGTAGAAGGACACTTCCTTTGCCCTGGAGGAGACTTCATTGGCGGGGACACTCGTGCTGGTCAAGCTGGAGACGTCCATGTACTTTTCCACAGGAAAGCCGCCAATGGAGGCGTGGGGGGGAGACTTCAGGGCGTTTTGCTGTATCCCGACCCCGTGGGACATCCTGCAGCTATAGTATCCATTGCCAAAGTGATACCCATAGCCCAGCGCGGGGGCGGCGGCTGGCGTGGCGGAGCCCGGGCAGTCCTTG